CGGGGTTTATAGAATCATTACTGATTCTGGAAAGCGACACCGACATCAGCTCTGTGGCACTTCGTGCACCACGTGTGCCATCTGGTTGCATTAAATTCAGGAGAAGGCAGACACTTCTACGGCTCATATCTTCCAATTCTTAGTCAACTCGCATCAAAACTCTGAAGGTGGATGGATAGCACTACAGGCAGAAGGAAAAAACTGTGAATTTGATTTTAGGGGGAACTGTTCCTTTATGGCCCCAGTCACGAAAGCCTAAAGAGAGGTCAGCAGAGGTGGCATAAAATCCAAATATATTCTTTACCAAAGCAGAAGTGCAGATACTTTAAAAATACTCTGGTAAAAATTCAAGAACTGGATGGAAGTCTTTACTCGAGTAAAGTAAAAGCTCTGAACTGTACTGTGTACTTGTTGCGCTCTAAAAGTAGTTAAAAAACTTAAATTTTTCTGAATTGTTGGGAAAATCTTTAAAGACTATTCTTATTTAATTGTGTTTTGTTTTCGGACACATTTCTAGTTCATTTTTGTAGTTTACTGACTCCAGGAGGTCAGAGTTCAGATGTGTGATGTCATCAGTAAGCGCAGAAAAAAAACAGTGTCTGTGACGTGAGGGAGCAATATTTTGCTGATGATACGCTATTCTGCCTGTAAACTCCAAACCTGAACTGAGGAGAATAAAGTTGCAAGAAAAAGTTGAATGGAGTCATGTCTCTCTGAGGGTGCAACATACTCAGTGTAAGAAAGTAAAAACAGCTCTGGAAGACGTTTCTACCATCTGTTTTGTGTTTTTTGCAAAACTAACTGAACCTTGTGCTATTTCAATAAAATAATAAAATAATAGCAGTACATGGGAATAAAACCTTTTTAACTTTACCTCCACGCCTTAATAGAAAATAAATACTGTTAGGGATTAAAGAAATAGAAATTTCCCTCAGATGCATTAAACCAAAAGTAACAATCCTGTTTTGAGTAGAAAGTACAAATACTTGAGTAAAAATGTGTGTTTTTTGGGGGGGGGATAAAAAGTTGCCCAAAACGAAATACTTGAGTAAAGTAAAGGTACAGTAACAAAGTATTTGTACAGCAGTTCCTCCAACCAGTCAGCAAGTGGTTGCAAACAGGGCGATTGCTACCAGGCTGAAGCAGTCGCCTGTAGTTTATAAGGAACACACCAGCTACTTACTGGCTCGTAGTAAAAGTTCTAATTGCAACACAACTCAGAACTGGAGAAAATTTGCCTTCAGTATTAAAGCTGTGTCTTGCAGCTGCTGACAACTTGTTTGTGTTGCACATTTAACAAATTCATTACTGCTTGGAGAGTAGTTGGCAAGCGTTTGCAGATTAGGTTGGCATCTTCCACGCAAACTACAGGCAACCTTAGCAGTCTGCTATTAGTTGGAGCAACTGCAAGGTGATTTTCACCTTATACATCTTTACAATTTCATGTCATAGCAACCTTTTACCAACTCATCAGACATACATCTTCTTCCCTAGTGACCTGCGGTTTCCAGGGGGTTGCTAGCAGGTTTGTAGGCCTGTGTGAGTGGAGCCTAAGAACACATCTTGCAAACAGACAATAAGAATCAGGAACTGAAAGAATCACCCTTACCACTTTGAAAACTTTCTTATATTTTGTTGTCACCGAGACGCACAAAGCAAGTAGTTATTATAATTTAATGCTTTAATGTCACTTTTAGGATTCCCCTCGGCGGTAGATCACTCAGACTTCATTCTCGTCTGTGGATGTGGCTACGTGACGAGACAAGCCCACAGTCCATTTTCTGCTTATTCTGGAACTTTCTGCATCAGATGCATCAATTAGATATGAAAGCTGATGCAGAAGTTTGTATCATTTACTTGTGTTTGTATTGCAATGAGATGAGCCCTTTTGGCAAATGTGCACCATATTTTAGAGTTGACAAATAAATGTACTTAATTAATATCCTAACCACTGTCGTTGTAACATCAGGCTGGGTGCCACATTACCCCGAGAGACCCGTAACCCACTCACCATGCATTATATGCTCCCAGACCGGCACCCTTAAACAGATGAGATGTTTGTTCCAGTGAACTGGCCAGCAGCCACCACAGCTCAGTGCTGCAGTGAAGAGGGAAAATAATGACATGTCATCTGATAATGGCTGCATTGCTGACGAACTAGGCCTTTTAATGGATTTATAATTAATGCTTGTGTGTTGGCCGATGCCACTGATGGCTGCCGAGAGGCAGGATAATGTTCTGGAACTACAAAGTCGTTTTAGATCAGTGTGGATCAAGCTGGGGCCACAGAATCAGAGATAAGAGCTGCATTTTTATTCTGTGAGAGGTGCTGGGCTGGCAGTTGAAGCCCAGAGAGCTTTCTGTCCTTCTTCTATCCCCCCCCCACCCGCCTTCCTCCGCCCTTAACCAGGACATTAGAGGCCAATGACTCCACAGGCTGCTCAATACTTATCACTTTAAGGACAGAGGGTCATTATGGCTCAGGTTTTTTAGGTCAGTGATTCATACCTGAACAACACAGTCACATAATTGGTCCACGCGGCCAGTGAAATTTTTCATTCAATAAACTTCAACATCCACATTTGTTACAATAGCCGAGTCAAGATAAGGGAGTTTGTGAATTGAAGTGTAAGGTTATATTTTGGACTGCACCCCCTTCAAAACTATCTTTTTAATGAGTTGGGATGAAACGCAGAGTCAGTCAAAGGTTTTTGTGACTGTCTGGTCTCCTCTGCTACGGAGCGCTGCACAAAGAAATACTTGAGAGGATTGCTGATTCTTTGATATTTTTTTAACTGCTGTTGAGCATATTTAAATCATGGTTAATCAGAGGGTCCATACCCCTGCCAAAAAAAGAAATGTCACAAAGTTTCATTTTAATTCATCTGGGATCTGTATCTAAGTAAACACATTTACGTCAACCAGACTTTAGTACATGCAAATAGCCAAATTATAAAGATTTATTTAATAATTATTTCTATTTGTGCTTCATGAAAGGTGATCTATTAATATTCATATGGTAGCAATTAGTCAGATTTTCTTCTGGCCATGACCCTGAACCAATAGTCAGACCTGTGTGATTTATGCCAACACAGAATTATGGATATGAGGATGGATGTAGCCTTCAATTTTGAAAGAAAAGCCCAGGCATGAATGATTTTCTTAGTGTAAAATAGGTATAAATGAGATAAACAGAGCTTTGCTTTATGATATATGGGACATCTAGCTTCAAAGGACCAGGATGGCCATGGCAGAAATGCTTAATATGAGGTTTTAAAATGGTAGACCAGTGGATAACATCATTTTATTAGAGTCTGTGTTGGCAAACTTCATTTACTTAGAAAACAGATGATGCTGGAAGTGGAATTCCACAATGATCCCTGTGGCTTGCAAAGCAGGTAAAAGTCAAGTTAATGCAGTACACATGTGTCTGTGCCTTTATAATCTAATCATGTCTAATGACTGGATGCAAACCTCTTCCTGTGAAGCAATTTAAAATCCAGCACATATAATGATTGCATGGAGTTGAGTCCTGCTACACTACTGCTACTTATCTAACATTTCCCTCTTCTTCTGCTGCTGGGAGATCACCTGCTTCCATCCACTAGCATCCTACCTCTACGTCACATCAACCCTCTGCATATCCTCCTTCACTACTCCATGAACCTCCTCTGAGGTCTTTTTCTCCTCCACCTGCCTGGCAGCTCCATATTTAACATCCTTTGCCCAATATATCCACTATCCCTCCTCTGCACATGTCTAAACCATCTACAACCTTGCCTCTCTTACTTAGTCTGCAAACCACTCGCCCTGAGCAGTGCCTCCGATTTCTAATCCTGGAAGGAAGATCTCAGCACTCCTTACATCAATCAATCAATCAAAATTGATTTATATAGCACATTTTTAAAGACCGAAGTACACCAAAGTGCTTTCCAGTAAAATCATGATACAGATAAAAAATTTAAAAAAAAAATCACAATATAAAATATAAATTACAGATATAAATAAAATATAAAATAATTACATAATCTAAATGCAAAGCCAGATGTAAATTACCCTAATTCGCCTTGAATGCCAGGTTAAACAAATACGTCTTTAAACGTGATTTAAAAGGCTGAATGGAATCTGATGCGCGAATATGAAGAGGGAGAGTATTCCATAACCTGGGTGCAGCAACGGCAAAGGCACGGTCTCCTCTGGTCTTCAGCCGAGACCTAGGTTGCACTAAGAGCAGTTGGCCCGATGGTCTTAGAGCTCTCTGAGGGCTATACAGACAGAGGAGATCAGCTAGGTAGTCAGGTGCCATATTGTTTAGAATTTTATAAGTAAACAATAAAATTTTAAAATCAATTCGGTATTTAATAGGAAGCCAGTGTAAATTTGCCAGAACAGGGGTGATAGAATCGTACTTTCTAGTGCCGGTCAAGAGACGTGCTGCGGCATTTTGAACCAGCTGCAAACGCTGAAGAAGAGAAGATTGTAGGCCCAAGTAGAAAGAATTACAATAATCCAGTCTTGAAGTGATGAAAGCATGAATGAGTTTCTCCAGATCTTTGTGTGGTATGTAAGGTTTAGCCTTAGAAATTAGGCGTAGTTGGTGAAAGCTGTTTTTTACTACAGTAGAGACCTGTTTATCTAGTTTGAAGGAACTATCCATGAAAACTCCAAGATTCCTAGCAGCATCAGTGAGGTGGTTAGCAACAGCCCGAATGTGCCAGTCAGTTGTCCCAGAGACACATTTCTATCAAAAACAATAATTTCTGTCTTCTTTTCATTTAAAGTAAGAAAGTTAGGTGATAACCAGTCTTTGACATCGCTCAGACAATCAAACGGAGGATGTAGTGAAGATGAAACATCCCCAGTCAGGTGGAGGTAGATTTGAATATCATCAGCATAGCAGTGAAAAGAGACATACATACATCTTCACCTCTCCATCTGTCTCCCTCTCACTCACACACATGTATTCTGTCTTGCATCTTCTGGCTTTCTCGTCTCTCCAGAGCATACCTCCACCCCTCCAAGCTCTGACTGACCTCATCTGTCAATCCATCACCACTGCAATCAAGAATGCACTTGGAGAAAATCTCTGATGTAATCCTGCCCCCATCTGTCACTCCTACTGCACACCTCACCACTGTCTTGCTGTCGTAAAATACATGTCCTGCACCACCTTCAGGTACTTCTTTTCTCTCCTGAGTTCCTCGTGGACAGAGGAACTCTATCTTATGTTTTCTCTGGATCGACAGGGTTATCCATGAACACGCTCAAAGCAAACATCCCATCGGTAGAGCTCTTCTCAGCATGAATCCATGCTGCTGTTCACTAATCATCGCCTCTCTCTTTAAACAGGCTTCAACAACTCTTCCCTGTATCTTCATGGTGTGGATCATCAGCTTTATCACTCAGCACCTACTACAGTTCTTCACTTCACTCTTGTTCTAGAAGCTACCATTTCCGTTGTACACAAAACAGGTTGCAAATACAAATTTCCACCACATCTGAAATCTGCACAAAACCAGCTCAGATTTATACACATGCAGTCCACTGGGAAAATCACCAATTCCAACAGTTCCACTGAATTTGACTAACTGTAATCCTTTCAATGCCATAAATGCAGATGTGACCCAGCACACGTTCCGTGCAGGCAGTTTCACAAAAACCGTATCTGTAGGAAGCAGAAACATCCCGTGGAGAACAAAAGAGCTCCTTGGTGGAGGTAATAATTAATTTTGACAGGTGAGTCACTATAAAATTACAGGGAATCAAGAAAAACATGTTTTTATACATCAGTCGAACCATTCACCCGACACAAAATTTCAAACGATGGCGTAATTGCATCCCCAATTCTTAATTGAATAAGTGCACCAAGTTTACGGGCTAGTGGTGATATTTTGATTTATTTTGATTAAATTCCTGTCTTTCTGATTTCACCATCTTTTCATTTAAGTCTGTTCATTTCATGAATTTCCAAGTGACAACCACAGTCATCGTAGAACACTTTACATTTTAGGCCTTCAAGATTATTATATATATTATTATATAAGATTCAAGATTATATAATAATTGTCACCAGCACTGTTTCAGGCTCAGGACGGGCAGCTATCTGTCTCACCCAATGGGAGTTCATTTCATTTGAAGGTTTACTTAATCAGTGAGATTAAGAGGAGACACAAATCAATGCGAGGGTGTGACACATCAATTTGTATTAGAAAGTCATGGTTTTTGGTAGTCTTTGATTTTTAAAAAAAAATGAAGGTAGCTTGATCAGGATTATGTATAAACTGTGTGCGTGTGTCTTTTATACTATAATCAGGTTTTTACAGTTGTGTTTTCTACAAGTCACAAACACACTCTTTGTCTTAGCACACAAGCCCGCTCTGTGCCCGTGAATCTCAAACATCTCCTCCATCTCACATAAACTTACTTTCAGAGCTTTCGGATGCTGCGCCCTCCCTTGATGCACAGCAACACCCGGCTCCCCCTTTTTTTTATGACTGAAGGAATGACAGATGTGCAAATCTTTTCCTCTCTCATCTGTCTTCGGCACATCACGACTGAACGAGGAGTTGCCAGTGTTGACGTCGGTCAGCGAAGCTCCGTGAATACTAGAGACACGTTCGCAGCCTTTTATCATGTGTTGTTGAAACAGTAATGTCAGCAGAAACCGTGCCCCAACATCTAAGAGAATATTTGTACTTCATCTACATGACTTGCCACATTTCAGCATTTGAGACGGAGGGTTGCATCACTTAACTTCGTCAAAACAGCTCAAAGCCAGGCATCTTTTGAGTGGCATAAAGATGCTGCTGCAAAGCACAGCAGTGACACAAGCTGTGATATAAGATGAGATGCCTGCTTGATGCTCATGAGCTGAGGCTTAGGGAAAGTCTAACTCCTTTACTGGTCCTGGCCAAGTTTTAGAAAAGGCTAAGACTACACCTCTGGCTTCCCTCACCTTTAGGAGGGCGTCAGGCGTGTCTTCAGTTCATCATATCGCACTCCAACACGTTCGTGAGCATCTCCCAGTGGAGATCCTTTCTAGGACACACACTCCGTCAGAGATCAAAAAGATTGCAATCATCGGTCCTGCAGCACGCACAGAGAACACTTTGGTTACATCTTCTCCCTGGTGATGAACAAGGAGCAAAAAAACAAGCGGGGCATTATTCCAATTTTAGACCTTCACATGTTTTTCACAGAACAAGAACCTTTTATTTCTGTAGTTTATTTCATTTGAAATGCATTCATTCAGTGACCAAGTGTTTTTTTGTTTTGTTTTTTGCACTTGTATTCTTTTGAGAAGCATAAGACCGTGTATTCAAGGATAGGAGATGCTCAAACAACCATTTGCCGAAATGCACAAAGAATATGGCCCATTTAATTAGAATTTCTTTCAGTTATGTTATTTTTCATTTATTTATGTGAGCAGTTTTAAGTTATTCATATTTCAGCAGTGGAAACGGAAGGTTGAAAGAATAAAGCCTGCCTCATTTTAAAATGCCTGCTATGCTCGCAAATGCAATGCTATCAGTTAACTATAGCAGCATTAACTACTTGGTGTAATTTTACTCATTTACGGCTGCACCAGTGAATGATTTCAGTGAACGAAGCAATGGCGAGGAGAGAAACGGAGAGACAAAAACAGAAATTTATCACCCAAATCTGCTGTTCAAACTGTTTTAGCATCTTTCAGATGATTTCTTTCATTGTTTTGACTTACTCTCATTTTTTCTTGGTTCACCGTCTCTGCTCACAGCAGTGTTATTTCCAAGTGTAGCAGGCTAATGTTTTCAGCCAAAAAGCTGCAAATACAGATTGTACGCTATCTGCACAGCACGAAAACAGCAGACAGATAAAATGAGCAGACCTCAGGAGCCAAAAATAAGGTGGGAATATTGGATATCTATTCACAGGTAACAGCAGATTCTTCATAACTGTATTTTCCCTCTTTACAATCTGTTTTTTGGCCCTAAAGTGAGGGAAAAGTTAATCTAGGTATAAATATTGTTTCCCCTCTGTTTGGGTAAGAAGATGAAAAAATCACAATTTATTGTAAATCAAAAGTTCAGTGACATGTAGAATAATGGTCGCATAGTGTAATTAATTCATCTATTTTAGCTATTGTATAACACATCATAAATTCTCCCTGATGAATAATGACAAGCCTTCTATTAGAAAAGCTTAATTAATAAGTTTCTGATTGATGGAAACGATCTGTACTCCTATAAATCACGAGAAAAAATGAAACACTGTAAATTGCACATTTGACCTTTGAGGAACAGTTAAGTATTCGTGTTGGTTACAGATGCTGCACTCGTGCTTCTGCTTATATTACAGCCCTGTCGCAGTATCTTCATATCAAAACAGGTTTCTGAATTAATAAAAATAGCTTTAGAGCACAAACAGAGTGGAGCACACGCGGTAAAGTTTAATATGGAAGCTTGTTATCTGTTGTTGTTTACACTCAAAGGCTGATTCTGAAGAGTTAACTTACAGAGGATCAGTCTGGCTTGTTATCTCCCCTCAGTTTTCTGTGAGGAGAATCCAAAAAGGCCACGTGTGATAGAGGATCGGCAACCGCGGGAAACGGCAGGAAAGATTTATTGCAGTTTTGTTTTTGCTAGATGCGTAGATCACTTTAATTTGTGTAAGTGTGTGGTCAAACCCCGACAAGCTCTAAGTATAGGCTTCAGTTCAGGGAAGCGAGTTAATTTTTAAATCGGTCCGACCCAGTCGAACGGTCCTGCAAACACTATTGATTGCATGCAAAACGTGTCTTGTTTATCAGTTGTCAGAAAGTTGTGGCTGAAAATAAAAAAAGAAAAAGACATCGTATACTGATTTAGGTTAGAGCTGATCTATCGATTTCTCTCCCTTCTTCTGTCAGTGAGTGATATGGCTGCATTTTGAAGATCTTTGCAATTGATCTATTCCTCCTTCAGAAAGCAAACACCTGAATTACTTATTCATTACTCAAGTGTTTGACTGACACACAGTTTGAAGTACTGACTAATTCACTTTGCCAAAAATCTATTGGGCACAAACTGACATTTTCAGGATGAGTGGTCCGTGAGTGAGTCTTTTGAATTGAATAGAATGAATGTTCGAGGCTGAATGTTTTTCCTGCCTGTTAATTAGTTCTTATAACAGGAATGTGGGAAAGGAAGTGTGTCCTCTATCACACCGAGAGTTAATCCTTCTGAATATTAGGAGGGAGGTTCCTCGACAGGTCCCTCATGGGCTCACATGAATACCAAAGATGGACTTTTTTGAAGCTAAGAAGAATGTCTAACCTATCTAATTTCCTGTTTTTTGTGATAGCGGGTTTCTCCATTGAAAATAATTCGTGTTATAGAGCCAGGCTCCCCCTTCCCTGTATCACTCAGACACACACAAAAACACCGATACAAAGGAAAGCAAGAAACGCCAGAGTGATGCAAAAGTAATCAATTCATAAGAGAGAGGGTCTCTGCTCACTTATCCCAACTCTGAGGTACACAATTGGTAAACCACCCAATGCGTTGTTCTTTACCCTTGACTTAAAACAGACTGTGTCCTGAAGACAAACAAGGCTGGCTACTGGCACAGAATGAAAGGTATCGTTTAATCTCGGCCTCAAATACAATCTAAGTGGGTTAATTAAGGCAAAACACTGCTCCTTCCACCACAGGGAAGATGCTGTGTTGATACAGCTCAACGAGGGCACAGTCTGAGGTGCATGGTTATTGGGGTGATTTGCATAGATCTTTCCAAATTCAACATTTAATCTTAAACATATTAAATTGCGCATTATATGCACACATGTCACGTCACTTGTCTGACTGTCTTTAAGGCTCATGGGCACCACAGTATAAATAGGAGGCAACTGACTCGCAACTGGGAAAATTTGGTGGTTGAACAGTGATTGCATGTTTTCACATTCATATGATTGCAACTGTTCACCTAGAGGTTGAGCAACACCCTGAAAGGCAACCACTTATGCTCACAAGGGGACTGCACAGCTTACCTGGGGCAGGTACCAATCATGGTCTGATGTGGTAGCTGCACATCTTTTTGCAGTGGGGATTCAACTCAACTAATTACTAACCTGTTTGCATTCTGGTTATATTCCTATATAAAAGCAGGGTTGCTGAGCATCTATGAGATTTTGTTGTTGCATCTCTATTATAAAGGAATTACTATGAAGTTCTGGCTGCACTCACAATCTATGTAGTTTATATGAATTTCTATGTATGTCACTGGCAATACTTATTCACCAATTTATCACAGTTAATTACCATATTACAACTATTGTTGGTTCTATGTAAATAAAACTCAGTTGAATTGAATTATGATTACTCAAGAATCTACAACCATGTTCTTGTGTGCATTTCTCTATTAAACCGATGGTTGTAAATCTCCTGCCTGCTTTTTCTTTCACCATCCCACTGTCACATTCAGCTTGTCTTGATGCACTGCCTGGCCTTTTAACATCATTTTGTCAATATACAGGGTATGACCAAATGTGCCCTGCTGGTGTTGTCACTGTGGCAGGATAGATCACCATGGTAACCAAGGAAATAGCTGAAAAGCTGTTTGTTGTAGGTGGGGTCAAGTGGTTAACACTGCGAAGAGGTGATTTAAAATGAAACCTTGTAAAAATGTAAAACCGAACAAAAAGAAATGGAACAAAGATGTGCAATCGTGTCACAGCAACACCTGCTGTTTTATCTGCACTCAGCTGGTACGGAGGTCTGTGAACATGTAACACCAAGTGGTCCTGAGTAAGCATCAGTACAGGTGCACTTGTCATGTAAGTAAATGAAGCAAATTTAAAACTATAGTTTGTGAGTTATTGCAGTAATGGCTGACAGTCCATCAAGTAAATGTTCAGACATTTTAAGGAACGAGTGAAAATTCTGACCTGCTGTGGAGCTGACGGGGTCTCATTACAGCCACTATAATGTGAGTTACAGTGTGTACGTGAGGTTGACACTGACTCAAGCATTGAACATGTATACGGTGAAAACTGCAGTTTTCTTTTACAGTTTGCTATGATGTGTTGTTTTAATAGATAAACCACTAATGTGACTAAAAACATGCTAATATGAAACCACTCTTACAGACTAAAAAAGACCATTTGTCAGGGTCCTGAGTTTGGTGACTCAGTGTTTATGTTTTTGATCATTAATATTCTTTGTTTCGGTTAAATTTTGGAGTTTTCTAATTCTTTGGTTTTGTCTCAATGCCTCCCCTGTGTTTCACGCCCCTTGTCTAGTTTCCTGTCTAGTGTCTCCTGTGTCTTTAAAGCCAGTCGTGTCCTTGTGTTGCAGTTTGTTACTCCTGTCTCTGTGCTCCTTGTTCGCTCTGTCTTCCCCGTCAGCCGTGTCCCCTTGTCAAATCTGCGTCTCTGTGCCTATCTCCTGTTTCCTGTTTTACTTTGATAGTCTGTGTCCTATATCAATGTATCTTGATTTGCTTCCTGTGTCTGGTTATGTCAGATTAGCCCCAGCTGTGCTTACCTCCTGTTTTCCATTCCATCGTTACTCCCTGGTGTATTTAAGCCCTGTGTTGTCCTCTGTTGTTGTCTTCTACTCTTGCTGTGTTTTTCCGCTGTCGTTCTGGTAATGTTCTGGTTCTCTGTTGCCTGGTTATGTTTTCTAGTTTGAGCTTCATGTTTTGAGTTTCAAACCACCTCTGTTGCCACCCAATATGACCCAATTCCTGCATGCATGCCAAAGAGACGAGCTGCCTAATTGGACTGTTTTGTAGATGAGCGGTGATGCAGATGAACATCAAGAAACCCTTGACAGGTAAACAGTGACAGTGCATCTTTGTTACAATTTTTTGAGCTAGTTCTCATCATAATAGTGGCCAGATTTAAAAAAAAAAAAAAAAAAGTGTGGAAAAACAAACAAAGAAAAAGACTTGAGAACTGAGATCTGGTACAAACAGGACTTTATGACTTTAGGGTGAAAATTGATGCATTTGCACAGAAGGAAACCCAAACGCAGCAAGAACATGATTTGTAAATAAATTCATATGAATAATTCATGAATTAAGTTTGTGTGTATTGCACTCATGTTGCTGTCGGGTTTGTCACTGTGGCTGCATATTAGAAATACATTGTTCTGTTCGAGCACTTGGGTGTGAATAATAAAATTTCCGAACATCGTTCAACATTTCGTGTGGAAAAAATATGACTCTCCAGCTCCAGTATGGTGTTTTTCTAGTTGTAAACACACCTATAAATAACTTCCTTGCCTTTGTAGCAACCTAGAACCACATAATGCCCTGTGTTAAGATTCAGCTGTGTCATATTTGTGAGTTCTTTGAGGTCTACATCATCAGTGTGATTCCTTTTTTTTTTTTTTTTAAATAAACTGCAAAAAATGAAAACACATATGTACAAATTTATAATTTTTGTCATAAGATTCATTAAATAGAATTTCAAAAATATTTAAATTGCTGGCAATTATTTCATTGGTTCAGGCTTTACAGGGTTAAATACTCAACTACTCTTCAAAATGTCACAAATGACAAAATCATACTATTTGACTTAAATATATACAGCTGTAATCACACAGAACAGTGTTGCTGAGTGATTTCAGTGCTTAGTTTAAAGCAACATTTTCCTTGACGATTTACTTCTTGGTGATGAGGGACTAGTGTTGGTTAACATTTATGAATTAAATTATTACAAACCAGAAGTGAAGCATAGGACAAAAAGTATTCTGAGCTCATACGTTACACACATACATTACTTTGTTACATATTATACTCAAATATATGGGTTCCAGTGGTGGTCGTGTACCGTAATGGTATGAGGGATATTTTCTTGGGTCCCTAGTCAGTAGTGTTGGTCACTTGAAAATAGTAATTAGTTACTGATTATTTCTCTAAGAAAGTAATCCAGCTACTTTACTGATTACGTATTTTCAAAAGTAATTAGTTACTTCATTACTTACTTTTTAAAAACACGATACACAACCTGAATACCTAATGAAGCAAAACCTTTCAGCCCAATTCTTTTTTTTTCTCTGCATTTTCCATCAATTAAAAATGAATCAAATGAAAATGTCTCTTGTTAAAACTTTTTAACAACTTTTTGTGTTTTATTAGTTTTAATCTTTTAACTTTATGCACATTGCATCAAGTAAAAAATTAAATTATATGCAACAGTCTTTGACTTGAAGAAATTAGTTTAACATTTAACCCTATTTTCTGCATATCGCAGCATATGAAATGAAATATTTTTGTGTTTACACTCACTCTTTCAAATAGATGCAAGTAAAACACAGCGAAAAATAAATAAAATCAAAGATTCAGCAGCACTGAGTCCTGTCTCTCTTAAGTAGATTTTCACCTGTTTAGCAGGAGTGGGGCTGTTGGAGGTTTGCCGGGTGCTTGGTCAGATTTGACGTTTTATTTTTCGCTGCAGAAAGAACTTTTCTTCCCACACAGAGTGTACAACAGACACTAATGTTTTTGTCACTTTTTACGGAATCAAACTCAGAGTAATGTCAGTACTTCCCAGCTTTAAACGCTGCATGGTCGTACTCTCTCCAACACTCCATATTATCCATTGTTGATCTGCACACGTCTGCTGCTGCCACAGACGTCGCACGCTCGCACGTCATTGTCATGAGACACTCTCATAAACAAAATCACGGTTTAGTAACACAGTAACACAGCATGTTTATGGAAAAGTAACAGTAATCTAATTACTTTTTTGTAATAGTAATCCCTTTACTCATTACTTGAAAAAAGTAATCAGATTACTGTAACACATTACTGCCCATCTCTGCTAGTCACCTCAGCCTACCTGAGTCCATCCCTTTGTGACCACAGTACACCCATCTTCTGACAGCTCCTTCCAGCAGGATCACGCACAGTCACAGAGTCCAATCATCTCAAACTGGTTTCCTGAACATGACAATGAGCTCACTGCACTCAAATGGCCTCCACAGTCACCACATCACAATCCATCAGAGCACCTTTGGGATGTCAATGGAACAGGAGATTCGCATCATGGATGTGCATCTGTTGAATTTGCACCAACTGTGTGACGCTGTCATGCCAATATGGACTAAAACCTCTTAGGAATGTTTCCAGCACCTTGTTGAGTCCATGTCATGAAAAATTAATGCAGCTCTGAAGATAAAAGGAGGTCCAGCTCAGCACTAGCAAAGTGCACCTAATAAAGTGGTCGGTGAGTGGAGTGTCTGTCAGAGGCACTTGGGTAAAAACTTCAGTTGCACAATTTGATCCGATTTAAGTCTCTCATTGTGTAATTGAAGTGCAGTTGATGTTGTTGTTAAAGCTGGAGTCATTGCTGAATGAATTAGAAGCTGCACAGTAAACGATGATGAGCTGCCAGAGAACAAACGGTCACGTAGCATGTTGATAAATCAATAGGTGAAGATTGGTTCACGACTATCTGTTAAACAATGGAGGTAAGTTGTAAGGATCACTTTCTCCACAAGGACTTTCTTCAGCTACAGGATGATAATGACCCGTTCATTCCTCATTACTGAATCAATATTTACTCTTTCCGCGCACCCCCAAGAGATACATAATACTGAGAAGCTTTTAAAGTTGTGCCTCATTACTTCATGACCTCTGAGTTATTGCCTTTCCACGCAGCTCCATGGCCAAATCTTATTATGGACTAGCATTTACATTTAGTCTTATTTATACTGAAGGCCACTTTCACCTATCCACATGCACATTAAACACAGTTTTATGCTGCAAAAACAGCACTTTATATTTATCGATCTCACGCCCACCCACCATCAATGAGCACGCGTGCCATCTTCCTCCACAGTACTCTCAGCCAGACTATGACGGGGACGGGAATATTAATAGGCTGTAAGCGCTCTGAGTATGACAGTTCAAATGCCTTCTTTTACAGTCAGCCTGATCCCCAGCTAAAACCTGGAATGTGGTTACACCGCTTCACTTCAAGGGGCACAAAAATCGTTAAGCGCTGAGGTACGACTTCAAAAAACCTCAAACGCCTTACTTTGTGTCACCGACATTATCTTGTTCAGCAAAGTACAAGCATTTTTGTGTACTGTACCAAAATGTATTACTGGGAAAGGACTCAGCTTTGACTGACATTAGCAGCCGAAATCTCGTGATCATAACAGACCGAGGAAAGCTGGAGCAGCGCGTGTGACTGCGATGAATTGAGTAAGGATGTGATTTATGTAAAATTTCATTTGTTAGGTAACAAAAGTCGTATGTCTTCTCTCAAAAGTTACAGC